GAAACCAAACAATAAAAAATCCTTAAACTTTCCAAAACCAAAGATTACGCAATTTTGAAGACTAATCGGAGAGAAGAAGAAAACAACACTTTCTAATTTCTTCTGTAATGAACCACTGTTCATAAACCCTAATACAGACGAAGCGGCGCCACGTGTATAACTACAGATCTCGACGCGTGTTTTGATTTGCCACGTTGACGATTGTGAATCTCTCCGCACTACACGCCGTTTTCGATAGAAGGCGTCTAAATGGGCTCAGGTAAGGCCCATAATAAGGATAAGTTAGTTTATTTCCGGCCCATTTACTAGGCTTGTGGCCATTGGATTCTTTAAGAGAGGAAGTACAGAGAGTTAAATGGAAACAAGACAAGATAATAACTGTGTAGGTCAATATTTTGAATTTTAAGCAGACATTCTTGAAGAAATTCTATGAGATTGTGCTCTTTGAATTTCACTTCTTAGTACTTTTGTCTCTTCGAAGTGAAAAATTGATTGCTTCTCTTTTTACCCTCTACGTGAATTTCAAGTTGAGTAATTATTATCTGACAAGTCGATAAAGATTAAAGACACAAGTATGCATATCCATGAACATATAACTAACTATAAGAGGTTGATGTTAATGAAAGCAAAACAAAAGAGACTTTGATGTTGAATATGTGATGAACACGTTGAAGTGTATTAGGTTTCCCTTTTTCAATTTTTTTGTTTTTTTGCACTTGGAAGGGTTTGGGCCAAGGCGTTGATCCATGGCCCAGGACCAACCTTTGCTAATACTTTATGATATGGTGTAAAACATTCTTCTCACCGGTAATTCGAACCAGAAATGCGACCAACCTCTACTTACCATTATTCGGTGGTCAAATCTTTTTTTTTCCGACAAATCAAATATATTGATATCATAAGAAGTTTACAGGATACAATATTCTCAATACAACCATTAACACAAATATGGAAAATTGAAACAAGCTTTCCTTTCAGAAGTCTTATAGGCTAACAGATGAAATCTGTTATGTCCCCCCTTCATAAACTCTTTGTTGGCTATCATCATTGCGATGAAACTCCAAATTGCACTTAGCATTATATTGACTAATAAAAGTAGTTTTGATGTTGTTGATGATGAACATGAACCATGTCTTCTCGTTGAAATCAGAATACTTGATGAAACCAGCAAGCGCTTTTTGTGTTTAACTTGGAGAACATGTTGACTTCGGAAGATCGAGAAAAAACCAAAAATCCAGTCTTTTTGAAATTCGATTGAAGTAAAAGAGACAAATCTTCGTGTTCCTTTCTTGATCTGGCCATAACCATTTTTTTCTTAACGAACAATCAGCAACACCCAAATAGTTTACACCTGGATCCCAGATTCGTCCTTGAAAACCTCTTTACAATTTGGATAGATTCAAATCAGAATCACAAACACTTTGGTGATGAAATTGAACCGTTTCAAAGGTAAAACGACGGAAAAATCCCGAGTGGATTGAAGCCAACAGAAAAACTCCTAGACTCTTGCCGGATTATGGTCGGAAAACAATTCTCTCGTAGTGAGAGAAAGAGAAACATCTCGAAATTGAAATTTCAAAATCATAGATCTAATTTTATTTGGGAACAGAAATTTAATTACAAACAAAAAATGAAAAGAAGAACATGACCGACGCGGCCGGAGCCGGCGCTGGCCAGTGATTGTCAGAAGAAAGAAGAAGCGGTTTCGTTCGTCCTTGGAATCCTCGTGAGGGAGAAAAGAAAAAAAACGGTTTTTAGTTATGGAGAACTGTGGCTTAACCCTTCGGTGGTCAAATCTTTTTAACTACCCAATTATGAAACTAAACAATTGTGGCATCCTTTGCATCATTGGAGATCGTAAAAACATTTTTTTTGTTTTCTAACGAGATCCACGTAATTTTCTGATACGGATATTCTTTCTTTATGGTACTAAAAATGATTTTTGTTTGTCTAATTATATGGGGTTTACAATAGAAAACCACTACAAGATACAAATTACGCCAGTTCTTCAGTGGACCGTTTTCCATATAGTAACATTAAGATATATATATATATAGCGGAAAAGGATTTCTGACTTCGAGTATTAGATTATACAACAGCAATTCCGTTGGAGACCAAATATTACGTATATTTTGCTTGTATAACATGAATGAGATTTACAAAATTATCATTTGAAACATAAATTCAAGTTTAAAGTTTTTGCCTACGATAGAAGATTAAAAAACTAGTTGATCAAGCTCATGCATGCACCACATCACAAAAGGTGCATAACCATAACCATAACCACTCATTAATGTAGAAGAAGATGGGGACATGGCATTTACTTGTGGGCTCTTCGAATCTAATTTGCAATCAAATGTATATTATTTATGGGTCCCCACTTATTTTTGGGAAAAGCCATTTCTTCTCCAAATCAAGCCGTCATTATAATTTCACCCAAATATATTTAATAAATAAAACACTATGTAGGAGTATTGGTCAATACCCCATTTAGCAAATCATCCATTGATGAATGAATATTATTTCTTGGTCCATAATTTGTGGTGATCACACAAAATAGTACGTAGCCTTTATTAAATTTTGTTATATGGACTGTCTCAAGTCATTAATGTGTCTTACAAATTGAAGTATTGGTCGAGTTAATGTAAGATAATAGTAGTTGAGTTTAAAATCAAGTGTGAGACTCCAAGGAAGATCTCTTGCTTGATCAAAACCATGCATGGCATTCGTAACAGGCATTCATATAATAACTAGTTTTAGGTCCGTTCGTAGCTACGCTTAGTGAATTATAGTTAATACAGATTTAGATATATATAAATGATTTTCTTTCAAACATGCAAACTAAATTTAAAGGTTTCAAAAAAAAAATGCAAACTAAAGAGAGTGATAAAAAGAGAGAGGTAAACACTATAGGAGAATTGTGGTATTATATATTGGTCAATTTGAATCCATAGTGGGCTTCTTGCGCTTGCTTAGTTGGTTTTAGATGTTTAATGCCTAATAAGTAATTAGTCTGTTTAATGGAC